TGTAGCAAACGTAGTACATAGGGCGACATCTAGATGTCATCTACCTCGCCCTATTCACTACAGATGTCGCCCTATGCACTATGCTTTTTTATAGGAACTTTTCAAAGCAAAGGTTTTATGGTGTCGGACACACAACATTGAAAGTTTCTGGACACACAACATTGCAAGTTGATAAAAGCGTTGTAAAAAGGACAACAGCTGGCCGCTTTTACCAGCGTTGTCATCGAAAATTCCCCTGATCCGCGTTAATTCCCAAAAAGTTCGTGCATTTATTTGGCTGCTTATGCGCATTTGAAAGAGGAAAATGCATGAGTTAATGCAAATAACGGCTGTTTATGCAAATAAACCCGAATTAGACAGAAAATAAACAAATTTTCAGAAATATATAGACTTTCCTTTCCAAAGGACAAAAGTTGCCAGCATGTAGAGCCAAGTCACTCGAAATTTCCACGAAATCGGTGTATGCGAGTTCGTTTATTTTTATAATTTTAAAAGAGATTTCAAAATGAAAATATTTCCCCAGTTTAATAAAAATTCCCAAGCATTTCAAATGGCTAGCGAAAAGTGTCAAACACAAAGTTTCACTTTGATTCAGTTAGCAAATAGTTGTACTGTACTTTTAGTTTGTCGTGCAGTCAAGCGCTGCGCTCAAGTATTTATCTTATATGGCAAATAAAACTAAAAGCTAGGAAAAAGTTGTATAACTACTTTTTAAGGTAAACTTTGCTAAAAGTGTTATTTAAAGCACACGTTGTCATCCTGCTCGCCATCTGTACGTCCATCGAAGTGTGGAAAAACTTTTGCAACAACAATTTTTCACTTTGTTTTTCTCTTTTACATGAGTGATCATCCTTTTGTCTTCACATATCAACAAACATGTGTTGGTATAAGTATTTGCACAAAATTTCTAGAAATGTTTTTTTGTTTAGTTAGTTTGTCAACACGCTTCATTGAAACTTTAGTTGCGTAGTGATTATTCTATATACTCCATCTTACGGTATGTACCTATCAAAGAAATGGCTTTATGTGAGTGAGATCATCAAGAAAGAGCCAATTTAAAAATGTAGAAGCCCTAGAAGAAAATGAAAGGTAGTCTTCCGTGAGAGTAAATATGCATGGCATTATCCAAGTACCCACTCAGTACTCTTTCTTGTAGCTCGATGTAATACGTCAGTACACCTGTGGCATCTGTAACATTGTGTGAAGTGCCGCTGTTGGTGTTGTCCACAGGGCATCCGTTATGCTGATCCTCAGTGATGGCCTTTAAACTCCCTCTTATGGTTTGTCGTTGTTGTTGTTTTAACAGCACACAAATTCCCCAACAGAGTTTTGGACAGAATCGAACGAAACTTGGGCAGAGTATTGCCATGACACCTGGGCCTATATTAGTGAGAAAAAAATCGGGATTCGACAAGGGGGCGTGGCACCTCCTATAGGCGTGACATTTTTTATCAGCTATAACTTCGGAACCATAAGCCCCACGAACTTGAAATTTGGTATACAGACACAACTACAGTAGGTGCTCATAGTAAGGTGTATATGAATGAGTTTATAAAGGGGGCGTGGCATATGCCATAGGCGTGGAATTTTTATCAGGTATAACTTCGGAACCATAAGCCCCGTGAACTTGAAATTTGGTATGCAGACACAACTGCAGTAGGCGCTCATAGTAAGGTATATATGAATGAGTTTATAAAGGGGGCGGGGTACATCCCGTAGGCGTGGAATTTTTTATCAGCTATAACTTCGAAATCATAAGCCCCACGAGCTTGAAATTTGGTATGCAGGTATAGATATGGTAAGTGAGTTTTTAAAAGGAGGCGTCGCAAATCCCATAGGCGTGGAAGTTTTTATCAGCTAAGTATAACTTTAAAATCATAAGTCAATGAAATTGAAATTTCGTATGCAGACATACTTATTTTTGGTAGGTGTTTATAGTAAGATATATATTAATGGGTTTATAAAAGGGGGCGTGTCATATCCCATAGGCGTGGAATTTTTAACCAGCCATAAATTGGGAACTATATGTCACATGAACCTGAAATTTGGTATGCAGACATATGTATGGGAGATGATTAGAATAAAGTATATATTAATGTGTTTGTAAAAGGGGGATAAATATGTATTCAACTATTAGACAACTCGGATATTTAAAACTATGTTTTTTGAAACCTTACAGTCTTTAGACCATCTTGAAATGGAAAGATTAAATCATTTTATTGATCCCGCGATGCTGTTAAACGAAACATGTGCATGTATAATGAATAAATCTTTTTCTGAAATAAGCATTCTACAGGAAAAATGTAGCTATACTAAGGGCCGGTTACTCAATGTTTGGTTAACACTAATCTCCGGTTAAACATAGTTATCGACGTTACCGACTCCCTGTTGTATGCATGAAGTCGAAGCGAAGTGTAAGCGAATAGGAAGCTAAACGGAATGTACCATAATAGACTAATTTTAATTCAAAAATTCTATCGTTACCTTAATGCACCTTATATTAATAATGGAACAATATTTTTAGTACAGAAAGTGATAATCAATACATTATTAGTTGAAGTACGATAAAGCTAAAACTATGGCTCATAAGGATGCCTTACTTTTCTCCTCTAATTTATGCTGAACTGAATACTTATTTGTATTACTGTTTTATATTTTGATTTGTTTACCCCGAACGACGTCGGGTGCTCTGCTAGTAAATCTATATATTTTTTACTAATAAGCAAGACCCTGCTTTGCCTGTACCTGTACTGTAGAGCAGTGCTCGTCAAAGTGGTGGTCCGCGGACCAGTGCCGGTCCGTAAGCCATAAGTCGCCGGTCCGCAAAGGGCGTCGCGAAATGGACAACGATTTTTTAAACGATTATATATACATATACGACTATATGTATACTCCACACTTCTAACCATGGTACAATTATCTACATGGTAGTAGCACTAGAAATTTCACGTCCGAGATGTCAAAATATTAAGTCAAAACACAAGCGAACACACAAACGAACAAAGCAAAGTAACCTAGTTTGACATCTCCAACACAAAATCACCTGTTCAAATTAACGATCAGCTGTTCATTTGCTATCACCTCTATTAAGACGCCTTGCTTCTAACTAACAACACTGGCACATACAAAAAGTAACGACAAATACCGTTTGTTTTTCGTGGAACCAAGAGGCAATGTGTTGATACATGTGTCTTTCTTTTGTTTAGTTTCTTTGATCCAGTTGAACAAGTGTCACGGTCGTGTAGTGTTCTGTGTTTGTTACAGCGTAGATACGTATTTTTATTATTAATCATTACTTATTATTTATTGGTTTGACAAAACACGGTAGGTTTTAACTCTGCCAGTCTGCAGTCAGATGCCAACAAACAAAAACCAAATTCAAAGGCTTTCGCTGTGTTGTTGCTACTAATGGCAGCGACGAATGGTGCATATGAAATTGTTCTTGTTCTTGGTTAACGGCTCATTGCATCGCTTTCGCTGCAGACTGGCAGAGTGATTCAAGACTGAACTGAAACTGAATTATTTATTTTTCAATTTATAGATGACGAAGCAAGGCTCAATGGATATGTTTCTTAAGAGGAGAAATAAGAATACTAATGATGAGCGTCAAATAAATTCAAATCCTTCAAAATCTGACAATGAAGACACAAATGAAAGTGAAGCAGCTTTATCATCAAAAAGACTGCGAACAAGCTTTACTCGAAAATACGATTCATCGTATATTCGATTCGGTTTTGTAGCTACGGATGATGGTGTTGTGCCAAAACCTCAGTGCGTTATTTGCGGTGATATTTTGTCTAACGATGCAATGAAGCCATCGAAACTCGGCAGACATTTAAGTACAAAACATAAAGACATAAGTTCAAAACCAAAAGAATTATTTGAAAGGAAACGTGCTGATTTAAAAAACTATCAGAAATTAATGTTTGATGTGTCACACGTGAATACTTGTGCTTTGCGAGCTTCATATAAGGTAGCACTTCGTATTGCTAAGGCTAAAAAACCGTATACAATCGGTGAGACACTCGTGGCAGGATGTATTAAGGATGTGTGTTTGGAAATGTTGGGTGAGCCGGCGGCAAAGAAAGTGGCCCAAGTGCCACTCTCAGATCACACTATACATGGACGTATTGAAGATCTGGCTCATGATATGGAAGATCAGTTAATAGAACAGATTAAAACATCTAAGTATTTTGCGTTGCAGTTGGACGAATCTACGGATGTTGCCAATTTGGCAATTCTTATGGTGTATGTGCGATTTCAATATAAAGACGCTTTAAATTCAAGACTGTTTGCTGCACTGTGCGATGGTATGGGGGCTGAACACAAACAGCTCCTATTGCATACCGATGTACGTTGGTTGTCAAGAGGCAAAGTATTGTCAAGAGTTTTTGAGTTGCGAAGTGAGCTCACCAAGTTTCTCCAGGACAAAAAACCAGATTGGTCAGGACTATTTCAAAATATAGATTGGATAGCCAGGTTAGCTTATTTGGCAGATATCTTCGCCAACTTGAATGAGCTCAACACCACCATGCAAGGAAGGATGGCTTCGTGCTTTACAATGGCAGACAAAATCGATGGGCAGAAACGAAAGCTGGAAGTGTGGAGAAGACGAGTATCAGCGGATTGCTTTGATATGTTTCAAAATTTGGCAATAACCATCGCCGATACAGACGAAAAACTTGATGTTCCATCCCTTCGAAGGGTCATTAGTGAACATTTGACAAATTTAGTCGACCGTTTTGAGCACTACTTTCCGGCAGAAGATGATCCACGAATAGGTACAGGATGGATACGAAATCCATTTATTGCTTCGAAGGCTGATCTGGCGTCAATTTGGAAGATAAATTGTTGGAGTTAGCTGCTGACGAAGGATTGAAGATGGTTTTCGAAACTATGACATCACTTGCGTCATTTTGGATTCATGTCAAAGCAGAATACCCGGAACTTGCTGAAATTGCTCTGAAAGCTCTACTCCCATTTCCTTCATCTTACCTTTGTGAGACTGGGTTTTCAACCATGAGTATTATTAAGACAAAGTACAGGAACAAATTAAATATTAGTTCTCCATTGCGTGTCGCACTGTCCACAATTGAGCCACGACTTGATAAGCTTGTAAATAATAAACAGGCTCACCTCTCGCATTAGTAAACATCGACTTTCGTAACTTTACAAGGAATGACACCTTCCAATAGCATTAATATAATTTTAATAAAACTTGACGTGCTTATAATATGTCTTATTATTATAACTTTACAGTTATTACATTTGTGATGTTTTATATTACTGTTTAATGAGGCTATATACAACTTGTATAATAAAAACAACTTAAATTTGTTAAACATTCATAAAAAATCGCTAATATCTGCTATCATTAAATGGTAATAGGTCATATATAGACACCCGGCTAATAAAGAAATTCATTTAAACAAATTTTAATACATATATGAGATGATCGTAAACGAAAAATAATCATTAAAAAAAGGTACCGGTCCCCGACGTAATAGAAAAACTGCAGCCGGTCCGTCACACTCAAAAGTTTGACGAGCACTGCTGTAGAGCATCAAAGTTATCAGTATAATTCTATAGCATTCGGCTAAAAGAAATACAGCTAAACAGAAGGTCTTTCGAAGAGAGTAATCTATTTCAGATAAAATACAATTCTGATGTGATCCAGATATGTATAAAATTTTAAATTGTATGTGCGTATTAATAATTAACAAACCACACTTTTCAATCGAGAAGAGAAAGTGCAGATAACCCTCCGGATTTTTTACGCTTGTAATTTCTTTTTTATTCGATTTTCAGTTATTTATTAGTATTTTCTGATTTATCGACATACAAAAAATATATTCAAAATATCCTTAACTGCACACATCTGAACTTTCGAGCGCATCCTTCTGCACAAAATTACTACGCAAATCTACACGACTACATCTGTAAGCGGGTACCAATTTAAGTGTATTAATTTCCATAAAAAAAAAAAAACAATTTTTATTTATTAACTCAACTGCGTACAGATGTTAATTAAAAAATTACTTAACTTTCTTAATTTGAGCGTACAGGAATGGGGATTGAAATCATGGATGGGCAGGAATCTGCTGCATGTAGTAGTTAACACAGTAATACTTCATGCAACCAAGAACAATGCAGCTGCCCAGTACGGCATAGCTCAGCCCGGTGGCGGCTTTAACGGTCAGTAAAAGAAGCAATGCTGACTGGGCCCCCAACAGAAGTGCTTTCACCAGGAACTAGCACAAGTGCAAAATCAGGAAATTTACTGAGAAAATGTATTCGTTTGTGCAATAATCTCATGATTCAATAACACTGGTTTACAGCAAAAATGTTCTATGGATGGCACTATCCAATTCCTATATAGAATTGCTCGGTGATTCCGAGAGTCGAGTTGTTATTTTTTTTTTGGATACGTTTTCCAGATATTTGCAATTTACCGTTATTCAGCTTAAAAAAGTAGTGGTTCCCCTTAATCACGTATATCGTACGAACCAATTAAAAAATCATAATATGAAATAGGGCAAATGAAAGCTAATAAAATTCTCCAATAAAACATATATACACCATACAAAACCGTTATATTTTTAATTTTCCTCTGTTATAGTTTGAATTTTTATAATTTTTTCATAAAAAAAAAACAAAAAAAAAAGAATCATTAATTATTTTCTCAGAGAGTGTCAGGCCTATCTAAAAGTGATGTATACGCGGTTATGCCGTATTTTGTGTTACGATTTAGTTTAATAAGTTCGTAAGATATACCTGATAAAAGGGAACCACTATTTTTTTTTAAGCTGAATAACGGTAAATTGCAAATATCTCGAAAACGGATCCATAAAAAAAATTAACTCGATTTTCAGAATCACCGATCCAGTCTGCATAGGAATTGGATAGTGGCGTCTGGAGAAGAAAAACAATCTAAAATTTGTGATCCAGTGTAATTATAGATTTTCTCACTAGTGACATTAGAGTTTTGACACTCTCTTAACTCCCTTACAAAAAGTTGCACACATACACGCACCCATACACTAGGGGAGCCGATTTTGTTAAGAGGCAGCAAGAAAACTGTTTTCTGAGCAAACCTTTATTATTGAATCATGCATTAATCTGACACATTAACGATAAAACGTATANCCAAAAGTTGCACACATACACGCACCCATACACTAGGGGAGCCGATTTTGTTAGGAGGCAGCAAGAAAACTATTTTCTGAGCAAACCTTTTATTATTGAATCATGCATTAATCTGACACATTAACGATAAAACGTATACATAAATTTGAAATTTGTAGCAAAGTGTTTTCTAGAAAAGGAATTTTTGTTGACAAACATACATACATACATATACTTATTCACTCGACCTGGAGTAGTGAAGCAGAAAAAAAAGCATTGTATTGACAGGCTAACCAGAAAAAAAATTACTCAATGTTTTTTTTTTGCTTACCCTGTTGATTAAACTTACAATAACAACAACGATATTAAAAAAGTAAACATCGGTTCAAAAAATCCCTTTCAAACCGCAGCTGACAACATCCGGATATTTATATCCGCGTATCCTCTAGGTAGCGACCAAACACCCATTTGGGAGCGAGCTAAAGTAAGAAGGCATAAATCATCGCATGAGCTGGATTTGGGTGTCGTCACTTTAAAACTCCGCCAATAAAAACAAAAACATGCCTCGGATGAGACCCACTTCTTTTGATGACGACCACCGCAAACATATAGAGGACTACAATTTGAGGGTATGCAACTGGAATTGCCGTACCCTTAATGGGGAATATGCCTCTCAACGGCTGGTTGATGTCCTCGGGAAGACAAAGACTGACATCACCGCCATCCAAGAAAAGCGATGGACGAGGCAAGGCAAGGTAAGCGTCGTCTAGTAAAGTTGAATTTGTGGTGGGGGAGAGAGTCCGTCGCCGGGTATTGGCGTCTATCCCGGTGGACGAACGTCTAGCCACAATCCGCATCAATGCGAGATTCTTCAACTGGTCGCTCATCTTTGCCCATCCTCCGATGTGAGAGAAGACGAGGCGTCCAAGCATCCCTTCTATGAGCGCCTGCAGCGTACCTACAAATGAGCGCTGCCCCCCTCACGATAGAAAAATCGTGCCTTGCGATTTGCGAAACATGTTATTATGTAGTACTAGGTTCCAGTTTGAAACTAGTTTCTTTCCATACTGGGTTGGCATGGCTCGTTCGCTCGTACGATAGTACAGATACACACACATACATATATATTCGTCTACAACTAAAAGTACAGAGCTTTAATGCATGAAGCTGCTGCTACGTTTCAAGTTGCAAATTTTATAGTCAGAAAAAGTAACAAATATTAATGGTCCAGTTACAATAAAAATAAAAGCACAGCAACGAGAAAAGAAACAACATAATTCCATGGGTAAAATAACATTCGTTAAGATGTTGCATTATTGAATAACTTTTGCATAAATTAAGTTCTGTAAAAATTGGTAATAAAAATTATTTTCATACAACAGCAGCCAACAAAGGACGCATTCCACAAAATGCAGCATAATATGCAAATTGTTAAATGCAAACGCGTGTGTAAAAATAAAATTTTATACATACATACATATGTATATACATGTATGTATGTACGAGCAGAGCTATACGTTCGCTCAACTGCTACCATAAATTTATGTGTTCCCATATGTGTTGATGCATTTTCAACCAGCAGCCATGCACACACATACACTCGCACAAGGTGCAATTAAGTGTGTTAAAAGTTGTAGTATTTCAAGGATTTATAATAAAAGCGACTACGTACCCATATAAGCTCAGACTTATGACCAGGGAACGGATTTTGTGGAAATTGTCTTCTTTTCTGCTAAAGAGATGGAGTATATTCGATTAACAATGTCCACGATTTAGATTTCCCTGAGTCCCTATATATACATTTGATGTTGCCTTTTTTGTTTTTTTTTGTAAGATATTTGCCTTTTTTGCCTGTTGTACCTATAGAAAAGTGATTGTAGCGAAGAAAAAGCCCTCATTCAAACGTTCCATACTTATATTTGACGCCACTTGTATCAACTCACGTCGAGCGCACGTTTAGTACATTCACGGCTGTGTTAAAGCCTGTTCTGTTACAAAAAAAAAAATTAAGTTGATATTGAAGAAAATAGATGGATAAATATAAATAAGTGGTCATATGAAAATGCGAAAAGATTTTTTGTATGAGGAATGAGCAGAGAAAAATGTTACTCATACGCCATGTACACCTGAAAATAATTAAAAACAATTATCCATAGAATAAGGAATTAAATCCATTTTCGGAATCAGCAATTCTATATAAGAGTTGGATATGTAGTGGCGTCCGTTGAACATGTTTCCTGTAAAGCAGTGTTATTTTTCAGTTTTTGTCTTTTTTAGTGCCTTCTTTTGTTTTTTCTGCCTATTTCGCTATTTTATTTTGCCCTTTCCAGCCTATTTCGTTATTTTATTTTGNCTTTTTCTGGCTATTTCGCTATTTTATTTTGCCTTTTCCAGCCTATTTCGTTATTTTATTTTGCCTTTTTTATAGGTTTTTAGGTCCTAAAAATCCATTCCCTGCTTATGACACTCACACACAGACATTCTACATACAGGGGCGAAAATATAAATATGGAAATGACTTTTTAGCAATACTTGGCTATTTTCCGTTCGTGCAATTAACGTTTATTATTTTTTTTATGAAAGTATAGCTCGTTATCTATCAAAAATCAGGCAAGTCAACATTTCAAACTTTGTACAAAAATTAGCCAAATTCGACAAAGTTTCATCTAAACTTTGAGCTTCTTAATTAGATTTTCTAGAAATATTCTGAGTATGCAGTTTTGTGGCCCATTAAATTTTAGTATCCCAAAGTACAGCTCTTAAGTTATTAGGACTTATCGTTTATTTTTTACCAATTCTTTTTGTGGAGGGTGTTGCTTAATTTCTCCATACAAAAAATTTTCGAACATAATTTGTATGGAAAAAATTTCCAAAAAATAACGATAAGTTTTAGCTACTCCAAACTTGCATTTTATTGCACTGAAATTTAATGACCTATAAAACTGCATATTCAAAAACAATTTTAAAAATCTTATTAAGTTTAAAATTTTGATAAACATTTATTAAAATTCATCGAATTTCTTTAAATAAAGTTTAAAATTTTGACTAAGATGTTATTTTGGACAGTAAAAGAAATATCCAAACCTTGCTAGAATGTCTGTTCCCTATTTACATTCCCGCCACCGTACATATTTAATCGCAATTGTATAAAAATTAGTGGCTGCCATCGCCAAAATGTCAGAAATTACAAAGAAAGTGTATCAATGGAGATAAAAATGCTTTATGATATCTTCACAGCGCTATGGAAAGTAGGTGTAGCATATACTTAAATATATATATGCATGTAGATATGTATGCATATCAGCGTGGTCCAAAAATGCATGCGAAGAAGTAAAGTCGGGATTTTTATGCTCGCACCCCCTAGGATTGTTCTATACCGAAAAATAATTTACCCCAATTTTTTCAGTTTTGAAATCTACAAATATTTATAGA